AACAACACTCTAGCTAGGCTCAGCAATCTGTGAAGAAAACCTGAGTCAGGGTCTGAAAGAGCTTTAATGATCCTTTCAGACCCTGACTCAGGTTTTCTCATTGAAAGCTTAGTTTGAAAATTGACAGTTTGTTTAGTCATTTTAGCCAATTTTAGTCAAGTAAGAAGATTTGAATCCTGGGCTCAGGAACCTGTGTAGAAAACCTGAGTCAGGGTGAGAAAGCGGCTTTCATACCCTGACTCAGGTTTTCTACACAGGTTGCTCAGCCGAGAATTCAAGTCTTCTTACTTGACTAAAATTCGCTAAAAATGGCTAAACAAACTGTCAATTTTAAACCAACCTTTTGATGAGAGTTAACCTAGTGACACCCTTATTTTAATTTTTCAACATAAAATTTCTGTCCTTAGGGTTAGGGTTAGTAAATCATATGTCAAAGTTATAGCTATGGTTGGGCCAAAGTTGTGAATTAAAAAATCAAGAAATAAGGGTATCACTATGTTAACTCTCGAAGTTTTTCTTTTTCTAATAAAAATCTATTTTTAGCGAATTAGAAATGCAATATTCATAAAAAGATGGCTCAATAATCCGGCCTTCTGTTTCTTTCTATTTCTGGCTGAGATGTTTGCTGTTACAGTGAGTTACAGTAGCAGACGGGCCAGCAATAGAATGGAACATTGACTAAGTGATTAATAATGAATGGAACTGTTTCCAAGTTGAGATACGGCGATTTTGTCGTTGAAATCGATTTCGGCCTAAAAACGGTTCCTGCGGTGGCGGCCCCCTCTTTCGATAAATTGCCAATTTTGATTTTGTTTTCAGGAAATTCAAGAATCAATAAGCCCCATTCAAACCAGCGGGACACTTTCCCACTCGCCTCGGGGCAACAATCTTCAGATTCGCAATCACCATCTCAGATTATCAACAAAAAAACAATCTTCCTCTTTTTGCCGTTGCTTAAAATTAAGGGTGTCCCCCATCAAAATCCGAATTTTCAAGAAATCCAAAAATCGCGACCAATTGAGCGTCAATAAGCCAGTTGATGATAAGGCTTATCACTTTCATTCTTCAAGAAAATGAAATTCCCTTCCGGCTTGTTTTTCCGAAGCGTTCGTTTTCTGAGCTTCGCCTTTTAGAACCTGCTTGAGCAGAGCTGCTCAGGCGCGAAAAATATAAAGAAAGAAAAGAACGGAATTTTTTCAAACGAGTGATCAAAAAGTAGAAAAGAAGGGGCGAATTTGCTCACTCTTGCAAAACCCGGTTCAGAACCTAGGCTAGGAAAAGTTTACATGGTGACACCCTTATTTCATAATTAAAAGTTGTAAGTTCAGGCCTAAACTTTCAACTGAAAAGACAAAATAAGGGTGTCAATGTGTTAAAAATATAAGAAAGAGTACAAGAGATTTAAATTCAAGAGGTTCTAAAAACCTGTGTATAAAACCTGAGTCAGGGCTCTGAAGGATTTTAAGGCTTCTTTCAGAGCCCTGACTCAGGTTTTATACACAGGTTTTCAGAGACTCTTGAATTTAAATTTTTCAACTCTTTCCTTTATTTTTAACACATTGACACCCTTATTTCGTCTTTTCAGTTGAAAGTTAAGACCTGAACTTAGAACTTTTAATTATGAAATAAGGGTGTTACTATGTAAACTTTGTCTGTCTGATTTTGATCAAATCAAGTCTGACAACCAAATTTGGAAGAATTAACAAATGATTTTTTCTTTCATCATTCGTTATTTTTCTCCAAATGAAAGTGGAACCGTTGTAATGTTTGTGGAGCATGAGATTGGAGCTAATCCGAGTGAATCTTGTTTTATGACTGGCCCAGGCTCTGTAATGGCTGTGCAATTTGTGCTCGTAAATGACCGTATTCTGACGATTTTACACAATCGCCGCGTCGCAATTTCAATTCAAACAAGACATTCTACACCTGCTTGAAAATCTTAAAATTTTCAAAACCGAAAATTTCAACTTTCGAAAATCGAAAAAGAGGACTTTTTGCTCTTTTCGGCGCAGCAGGTGACCGGGCGGGCGGGTCAGAAATCCCGCTGGGCATTGTGCCTTGATTGAAGAGTTGACTTTTTGACTCGAAATTATTTATTTTTATCCTCTTCTCGGAAAATTAAGGGGGTAAGGGGCGGTTTTTGGTCTTTTTCAGAGCAAAAGACAGCGGGTCTTTATCGCTTCTTTTGCTTGAAAATAGAAAAGCCGCTCAATTTGCGGCTTCGAGTCAAAGAAAATTGAAGCCGCGCTACGCGCGGCTTTTATAGTTTCTTTTCTGGAAGCCGCAAATTTAGCGGCTTTTCGATTTTTCAAGGAAAAAGAAGCGAAAGTAAAGAGTTGAGATGTTTTGATGTTTTTTCTTGAAGAAGGCAAATATTAAGGTGGCTGGTCTCCCGTAGCGCTTGAAGAAAAAAGTCCCGCTTGGCGTTTTTTCGATTTCAGGGTCTCGGAGGAGGGCGCCCGCGCCGAGGCCCGCCAGGCGCCACCGTGGCTGTTTTTAAGCCAGCCGAGCGGAACCACCCATTTCAACCACAGATACGAGCACCCAAATCGACACCCACAGCTACCAGAACTAGCAGTAGCTCCTCCTCACAACACCAAAACAAGAAAAAGAGAGACAGAAAGAAAATAAAAGAGCAGAAGCCACAATCGCCGCAATCATTATTTCCCAAATTGAAAACTTTGTCTTTTTAGTCAGCCGGAGCCACTGCCAAGTCCAGGTAAAAATTTTTATTGTAAAAAATTTTTTGAGGAAAGTTGCTTTTTTGAAATCAAGGAAGAGTCTCTTTTTTGATTGTTTGAATTTTTATTGTTGAGGAAATTCAAAAAGGAAAAGGAAATAGGGTCCGGGGTCACATGACTGTATTTAAATAAAGCGTGTGAGAGAGAGAAAGGAGGACTAGCACATTCATGCTAGCGAAGAAAAAAGAAAAGAGGGACGAAATTTTATCACTCCGCAAATCAAATAAAAATGCACATAATCCCCGCGTCCCCACTTTTTTCTCACAGAAATTTTCTTCATCCCTCCGCGCTAAAAATTAGAAATTAGCTAGTACTACACCTGGCACTACCCGTTCGTGAATCAGTTCTATTTCTTGAAGATCTTAAATGAAAAGCCGCGTAGCGGCTTTTACCAACGAAGCCGCGAAGCGGCTTCGCCAAAATTATTTTCCAATCATTTTTGACTTCTGGCGAAGCCGCTTTGCGGCTTCGTTTTGAAAAAGCCGCTACGCGGCTTTTCATTTAAGGGTATCCCCAACGATCGAGGCCGTTTTGGAATGTTTTGGAAAAATCGTTGGGGACACCCTTAAGATTTTCAGAGCCTGACTCAGGCTCCTTCTCAGCTTCTTTTGAAGCGTCTTTTTCCAGTAATTGATTTCTGGATTCCCGGAGCGGCGAGAAACAGTCCCGTCGCAACAGAATTACAGCCGGATTTTTGGCCATAAACGGGTTAGAAGGCGGCGAAAGTACGCTCGGTTAGGAAGCTAGCGGTGCGTCACCGACGGCGGAGCAAAAAGTGACACGCACCGTTCGTGGTATGGGCTGATTCTTCGGCAAGACCGAAGAATTGATGCTTTCAATCACACTGATTCTTCGGCATATTGAGAATTCCCTTGAACCGAAGGATTAATGAAAAAATTGACAGTGATTCTTCGGCAAATTTTCTAGAATCCATTGTTAAAAATCTTTTGATAATTGTAATCTATGAGTCATAACTTCTGCAAAAAGACATTTTCTAGAAAAACTCATTTTTAGCAAATTGCTACCTATTAAAAGTACTTTCTATAATTTGAGGTTAGGGTTAGGAGGCACTGGGCAAAATGACAGAACAAACTTACACGAGGGGGATAGGCTAGGGTTAGTTAGGGTTACCGAAGGTAACCCTAAGTAACCATAGACTAGACCCCGGCATTTTAGGGCCTAAGGGGCGAAGCCCCGTGGTCTTGGTTGAGGAATCTGTGAAAAATTTTCCTAAGCCGAATAATCAGTGCATCTTTTATCACTTATTCTTCGGTTTTTGCCGAAGAATCAGTGTTCTTACACGCATCAATCCTTCGGCCTTTAAGCCGAAGAATTAGGCCGTATCACCGCACCGTTGCTGCTTTTTCCGCTTCCTTGGAAGAATTCGCGAATTTGCAGCGCGGCGTGAATCACCCCGCTGAGCTAGTCCTTTTCTAGTCAATTTTAGAATAGACGACTGCCAAAGCCGTATGATCGTTATTAATCATTCGCGCTTATTCATGATTAATTAAATATTTTTACAAGAGTGCAAGAAAGGGACTCATTTTTCATTATTTTCAAGTCAAGGTTTTGTCGAAAAACTGAGTTGAAAAACTGAGTCAGGGTCATGAAAAAGGGTGAATCTAAGAATTGAGCCGTCTTTCTGAACCCTGACTCAGGTTTTTGCACAGGTTGCTGAGCTGAGATCAAATATACTCTGGGCTCAAAAACCTGTGTGGAAAACCTGACTCAGGGTTACCAAATTGAATTCTTGGCGATTTTGTGAGGACCCTGACTCAGGTTTTTACACAGGTTTCCGAGCTCAGAGTATATTTGATCTCAGCTGGGCAACCTTGCAGAATCCTGAGTCAGGGTTCAGAAAGACGGCTCAATTCTTAAATTCGACCTCTTTCAGGACCCTGACTCAGGTTTTCAACACAGGTTTTCAATATTTCTCAAATAAAAAAGATTTTTTGAAAAAGACTCAGACAGGAAGAAAAAAGAAAGCTGTGTTAACAGAATACAGCTCGCGTCTTTTCCCAAGGTCACTGACTGAAAAATGGACTGATCAATTTTTTCGTAGATTCTTTTTTGCTTGAAGATGCATTTTTTAGCATTGATCATGTTTTGTCGAGTTTTGGCCAGACTTGATGTTTATTTTCGATTTTTTCAAATGCTTTTCTTAGAGGAAATCTTCCACTTTCCTCAAAAAAGGAAAAAAAGAAAAAAGAGCGAAAAATTCAAAAATCATAAATCAACTTTTCAGCGATAATGACAGAGATGCGCCCCTTCTCCCGAACTCCGCGAAAAAGCTCACGTGACTCCGCGAATCCACATGCTTTCCGCTCTAGAACCGTTTCCGTCGCCTCCACTGGCTCTTCAGACAGCAGTGGCAAACACGTAAGTCTTCATTCTTTCGCCATTTTCGATAAAAATCGAGACATCAAAATCTTATCAAAAATATATTTTTATTTTGCTTTACGCCCCGTCTCGCTCCCTGCTCCTATAAAATCAACACAGTAATTCTCTCTTCCAATTGACAGAAGAAAATAAAAGACAGATAGTTTTTTCATTTTTTATTAAAAAAATGGCGAATTTTAAAAAGCACCTGCGAATTCCGCACAGCGAGTACCCAGGTTTAAAGCAAGCTAAAAATCGCTCCTTCCACGCCCAAAAGAGACTCATTAAAGTAAGTTACTGTAAGTTTATTTGGGCGCGGAAGCCTGTGTAGAAAGCCTGAGTCAGGAATCTGAAAGCTTTGAGCGCTTTCAGGACCCTGACTCAGGTTTTCTTGACAGTTTTCGAGCCTGGAAGTGGAAAAACCGCTTGCGGCTTCGAGTCAAAAACTAGAGCCGCGCTATTCGCGGCTTTTCAAATTTTTCGCTCGAAGCCGCAAGCGGCTTTTCCACTTCCAGGCTCGAAAACTGTTAAGAAAACCTGAGTCAGGGTCCTAAAAGCGCTCAAAGCTTTCAGATTCCTGACTCAAGCTTTCATCGTTAATAGAAAATAGCATATTTTATCTTTTTGAACTTTTTTGCGTCTCAAAGGAGTCAGTTCAGGGGAAAGGGGGCAGTTTATTATTATTGCCAGCAGCGGAAAAAAGTAGCAATAATGATGGATTGCGCCTAAAAATTCATAAATCGCGGTCGACCTGTCCGATCCTAAATCAATAATTCAAAACCGCCGCTTTTTTGGCATTTTCGTTATGACCGTTTTATTCTTGGCCGACCCTTATTTTTTCCTTCAGAACTCGCTCTACAAAACGGAGCTGTGCCGGAGCTACGAAGAAACGGGCAATTGCCGCTACGGCAAAAAGTGCCAGTTTGCCCACTCGCTCAAGGAGATTCGCGTCCTCAACCGCCACCCAAAGGTAAAAGTTCATTTTTGAGAAATGAGCAAAACTATTTCGACCTGAGTTTTAGCTAGTGACACCCTTAAATTTAATATCAAGAAGGCGCTTGCGGCTTCGAGTCAAACGATTGCGGCTTTTGCGCGGCTTTTACAATCGTTTGACTCGAAGCCGCAAGCGACTTTTCGACTTTAAGTTTTAAGGGTCTCACTAGCTAAAATTCAGTTTGAAAGAATTTCCCCAAAAATCTGAGGAAAACTATTTCGACCTGTTTTTAGCTAGTGACACCCTTAAAACTTAAAGTCGAAAAGCCGCTTGCGGCTTCGAGTCAAACGATTGCGGCTTTTACGCGGCTTTTAGAATTGTCTGCCTCGAAGCCGCAAGCGGCTTCTCGATCTTAATTTTAAGGGTGTCACCAGCTAAAACTCAAGTCGAAAGATTCTGGCTCCGCTCTTTACCTCTAAAAATGACAGATGGAGAGCTTGGATTTTTAGGGTTTATCTCTTCCCGTTGTCCAAAAAATGGGCTATCAAAACAAAGCTCTCGGCCAGAGAGAGTTTCCTCATTTCATTGTTGCGCCTGATCCTCGAAAAACGGCCTCCGCTTTATTTTTTTATCGACACTTGGAATTAAGGGCGCCCCTCCTTTCTTTTGTAACACTCTTTTTCTTCAGTACAAGACGGAAATGTGCAAGAGCTTCCACACGAACGGGTACTGCCCTTACGGCGCGCGCTGCCACTTCATCCACAATCCCGAGGACGAACTGCTCGGCAGCGAGTACCAAGGCGGCGCGAACAGCTCCAACTCCTCGACCTCCGGCGCCAACTCGGACGAGCTCGCCATCGACAAATCCCTCGGCGCGCTCAGCCTCAAGTAAGTCCGCCAAATGTCCCGATCAATGAAAAACGCGCGAATACATATTCCCAGCCTTTGATAAATTTGCGAACACGCACCTGTTCACGTGTTTTTGTTGTTGTGTTTTTCAAAAATCTAATTTGCCAAAAATGAATTTTCAAAAAGCGCGCAATTTTCCAAATTTAGCGCCACCTATTTTTCTTCAAATTTTAATCAAAGATTTTTTTTAATTTAATTTTTTTTTTATTTTATTTGAAAAACTTAATTTTATTTTTAAAATTTAAAATTTTTAAATTTCAAATTTGTCAAAAATGAAATTTCAAAAAGCGCGCAATTTTCCAAATTTAGCGCCACCTATTTTTCTTCGAATTTTCATCCAATATTTTTTTTATTTAATTTTAGTATTTTTATTTAAAAATGATTTTATTTTGGAAAAATCAAATTTGCGAAAAATGAATTTTCAAAAAGCGCGCAATTTTTGCAAGATTAGCGCCCCTACTTTCCAAAAACACAAAAACAAGGAATCTAACCAGTTTCGCTTCAGGGTAGAAGAATGGCCCTTGCCTGGAAACGAAGTGGCCAGCAGCGGTTCCTGCTCCAGCTCGGATCAGCTGATCCATTCGATCAGCAGCTCAACCTCGGCAAACAGCATTTCCACGAACACCTGGTCGACCAGGATCGCCAAAATGGCCAAGGAGGTAATTATTCATATTTTTTTAGCTTCTTTTTATGCAAAAAAGACTCCAAAAATCGTGTTAGAGAAAAAAGTACCAATTTGTATTAATTTTCAAAATTGGCAAAAATTCAATTTCTGAAATTTCAAATCTCAAAAATTTTTTCTCCCTTTTTTCGGCGACATGTTGGGCCGTCTGGGCGGACATATGTATTCGAGCGTGTTTGCGGGGGACTGATTTCTTATTTCCAAAATGCGTGTTTACTCACGACTTGCGGTCAGCTGATCCAGCTACTAGTACCAGTCTCGCTTGATTTGGCCTGTCCGGCGAGATGGAGAAGGGGAGTTGATTGATTCTGCTTGGGCCGTTACTTATTAGCCCCTTAGACTCTTAGAGTCACTCGAGATTATCTTTGAACTTGAGTGCGTCCGGATAAATCCAAATCGAGGCAAATCAAGCTCCCCGGTCAAGTCGCAAATCAAGTGCTACCTGGGCTCGGCAACCTGTGTAGAAAACCTGAGTCAGGGTCTGTAAGAACTGAAATGAAAAGCCGCGCAGCGGCTTTTAAAAACGAAGCCGCAAAGCGGCTTCGCAAGAATTTTTGGGAGATTCTAGAGATAATTTTAGCGAAGCCGCGTTGCGGCTTCGTTTTTAAAAGCCGCTGCGCGGCTTTTCATTTCAGTTCTTACAGACGCTGACTCAGGTTTTCTACACAGGTTGCCGAGCCCAGAGCGCTACTTTTGCAATAAAAACCAAATGTTAAAACTAAAACCAAAATTTCAGAGTTCGATGGTGGCTCCTCCTCCTCCTCCTTCTTCAAAATACCCGGAACCAGCGTTCGGGAGCCAATTCGTAGAGCGCTCTTCGCCGCCGACTCCGTGGACTTCAGCGATGTACTCGCCCAAGCGACCGTTCGGCAGCAGCTGCCAGTTCGGCTCGATCGGCTCCGGCGTCAGCTCCGACCGCGAGTGCTCCAGCTCGCCCGAGGTCGACCCCAAGTTTGACACGGCCTACGAGCCCTTCGCGCCGGTGGAGCCAGTGCCGCGCCTCGAGCTGCCCAAGTTCGAGCCCCCAATCTCCAGCAGCTACTCTTTCAACAATCAAGAACTCAACAATTCAAGCTCCAACTCCTCAAATTGCTCCTGGTTCTTCGAAAGCGAACCAGACGGAATCTTCCAAGCGCCTCGACTGCCAGTCTTCCAGTCTCTCCACGACTTCTAAAAAACTACTCACGTGACATCGAAAAACGCCACAAAATGCAAAATTCAAAAACACAACAAAAATGCCAATATCGCCCATTTCAAAATTGAAAAAAAAGACATCATCCCTTTTTAACCATTGTGATTATAAAAATTACGCGGATTAAGGGGTAGCATCGATATTACGACTTTTATTCACCCTTTTTCTCCGGACATTAGTATTGTGACTCCCTTATTTTTCTGCTCAGAGGGAAAATAAGGGTATCACTCTTTATTTCCGAAAAAATCCCGATTATCGATGCCTACTCCCTTAAAAACAGAAAATAATTAAGGGTGTAGCATCGATATTTCGACTTTTATTGAATCTTTTTCCCCGAAAATTACAATTGTGACTCCCTTATTTTTTCTGCACAGAGGAAAGATAAAGGTGTCATCCTGTTACTTTCGGAAAAACGCGATTATCGATGCCTACTCCCTTAAAAACAGAAAATAATTAAGGGTGTAGCATCGATATTTCGACTTTTATTCACCCTTTTTTCTCCGAAACTTAAGATTGTGACTCCCTTATTTTTTCTGCTCAGAGGGAAAATAAGGGTGTCTCTCTGTTGCTTTCGGAAGAAAAACCCGATTATCGATGCCTACTCCCTTAAGAACCCCCGCGTAAAACCTGCCTCAGGAATCAAAAACATTAAATTTCATTCATTTGCAAACTTGAAATTTCCATTTTTTTCTTTGGAATTTTATATATTTATTTGTCTCTCTTTCTCTCTTCTCTTTTTCCTCCCTTTTTATAAATGTCCGTCTCAGTGTCCCGTTTTTCGATTTTCCGCCTTTTCGAATTTGAAAAGAATTGACCCTAAACTACAAAACTACGTGTATTTTTAATAATTGCTTAACTATTTTGTGTTTTAACTATTTTTTGCCGCCAACTTTACCTCAAACTTTAAAAAAGAGCAACGTTCTATTCTTTTCTTAATTCTATTTTAACTATTTTCCGAAAAAGCTCCGAAAAAGCCCGAAAAAGCGTTTTTACAAGTTTCCGAAAATTTCCTCCTCTTGGTAAATTTATATTTATTTATCTTTATTCCTGGTTCACTTTTTATTTATACTTAATTTTATTTACCGCTGTAGCCGCTAAAAAACGAAACGAAACAAAATTTTTTTGAAAATTGGAAAAATATTTATTAAAAAATTTAAAATTTTAAAATTTTTATTTCTAAAATTGAAAAATGCAACTTTTTTCTGATTTTATTTTATTGAAACCGTTTTGACCTCTCTTTTGAACAATTCTTATTTCCGAATAAAGTATTCACCAAAAACACTCTTCCTTGTCTCCAATTTATTCAATTTTTGGCGAAACTTTTGAAAGCGATCCACAAGTAAAGCAGGATTTGAATGGACCCACAGCCGGAGAGAATCAACTCGAAGTGGCCAAAACAATCCAGAGAAGGGATGAAAGACAGTTGGGCTGGCTCTACTTTGACGCTAGAAAAGACGAGGAAATTTGGTGGAAATGGATGTTTTTACCATTTTTTGGGAAGAAGTTGAAGTGCTGGTTTTAAACAGAGAAGGATGAGTACGTTGTAAACTTCAAACAGATCAATTACTGTTTTTGATTTGAGCTCGGAAACCTGTGAAGAAAACCTGAGTCAGGGTCTGAAAGAGCTAAAATTTTCTAGTATTTGAAAACAGATGAGATTGAAATGGTTATATTGCGAAGCCGCGAAGCGCCTTTTAAACTTAGCCTTTCAGAACCTGACTCAGGTTTTTTCACAGGTTCCCGAGCCCAGGACCGAATTGCTTAGGTCTTGAAAAGCGAGAAGCCGCTCTTCTTGCGGCTTCTCCATCTTGTAATAAATCAGATTGGCCTGTTTCCTACTGAAGACAAGGAGAAAAAGTTCCAAATGACGGCGTCTGCTTTTGCGATAGTTTCTTTCGAGTCTTTTGAAATTGATGGTGGGTCACGATCACCATGCAATACAGCTGAAAGTGAACTAGTTCAAGTCATCAAACGCTCTTGAATTTACCGAAAAAAGATGAGAAATTGCGCCTTCTTCTGGAGCAAAATGGCCAAATCTTCGGAAGTCTCGGCAGAAATAAAATGCATTTCCTAAAAATGGGCTCAGCAACCTGTGTAGAAAGCCTAAGTCAGGGCATTTTGTCTAGAAAGACTTCTAGTCTAGAAGACTTTGCCAGACCCTGACTCAGGTTTTCTACACAGGTCGCAGAGCTCAGGGAAAAGACTGGTTACCTGGGCGTATTTGAATTGAGTGAACATGAGAAAAAGTTGGTGAAAGAAAAGAAGAGCGACGGAGTGGTGGAATTTGCTTCGAATGAGGGTTTCTTTGGAAGGGTTGAGGAAATAAATAGAGGTCACGAAAACCTGAATTTCAAGCTTGTGTTTTTCTCCGGTCTTTTTTACCTTGACAACAGCGGCAAAGTAAAAAGTGAAAATTATCCAGGAATGGGAGCTCGACACGATTTCTGAAAATTAAGAATAATCAATTAATTAAAAATTAATTAATTTATAATTAATTTTATTTCTTATTGAGTAATTAATTTTATTAATTTATTAATTAATTAATTATTTAAATTATTTATTTATTCTCATTAATGTTATTATAATTTATTGATTTAATTGATTAATAATGAATAATAATAATAATTACAAATGATAAATCAGATTTTACCGGAAATATTTGCGTAAAGAAGAATGTCCCAGTAAAGCAGGAGCATTTCAAAGACGCAAAAAGCGACTCTTGGTCCAATGTAGCAAACAGTCGCCAAGTTGGAAACAAGAAGCCAGAAGAGACCGACGATCCTCATCCAGTGCGCCAGGACGATTTTCTTGTACTGCGGCCCTTTGAGCATCTTTTGGAAATGAAGCGGCGCGCCTCTTCGTGAATTTCGGGGTCTTCCTTGATTCCGTTGTACCACTCGTTCGGGTCGTACAGTTCGAACGAGCTGGGAAGAAAGAGAAACGCGCGCTGCAGAATTCGCAGAAAAGAAACGCAAAGAAACATGAAGGCTACAACTGCCAGCGACCAAATGACCATGATGTTTTGGTAGCCGTCGAAAAGCCATTTTCGCGAGTTACTAAATTAATAATTTAATCTGCAGAAAAAGGGTCGGGCTCGTTTTAAAAGAATAAATAAGGGTGTCACCATTTTAACCTCAAAAGACTGGTGAGTTTTTCACGCTTTAATTTTTAGTTATGATAGTGACACCCTTATTTTTCTGCTTTTAAGGTGCTGTCTACTTACCTTAAAAGCTGAAAAATAAGGGTGTCACTTTTATAACTAAAGAATCAAAGCCTGAAAAATTCATCACTGTCTTTATGAGGTTAAAATGGGGACACCCTTATTTATTCTTTTAGACTCGCTTTTCTAGCTGACTTTTTCCAGCAGTTAGTACAATGACACCCTTATTTATTTCACAAAATAAGGCTTGCATCTTCAATCAGTTCTATCGCAAAAATAAGGGTGTCACTAGATTAACTCTCCGGGAAGAAAAGTGCTAGAAAAATTCGAGTCAAAAGAGGCCGATTAAAAAAGAGCTTACTCATAGTAACTTGCTATGAATTCTCAGCGCTAGAATTTTTTTGCTTCGTGCTTTTTTGTTCTCTGAATAATAAAGAAGTTTATGGTTTCAAGTTAGCCTCGCGTTTCTTTTATTGCTGCGTCTTACGATCAGCTTATTGATCGTATTAGCCGAATAAATTCTGTAATCCCGAAATTTAATCTGTTTTTATATTTTCCTTATGGCACTTTTTTCTTATTAAAAACATTAAATCTGCCATTTTTTTGAAATCAAGGAAGACTCCCTCAAAAATATTCAGAACTAGAAAAATAGGGCTTGGAGCTACAGTTAGGGCTACAATAAGAATTCGCCAAAATTGGTTTAAAATTTAAAATTTTGGAATTTTAATTTTCGATAAAATGATCTTGAAAAAGTCGTTAGACTGGAGCAGGTTGAAAGCATTTACGACTTTACGATGACCACAGTGCTGCTTTTGCTAAAAAATCTAGAAAGAGAAAAAGATGAGCTTCAAAAAGCTTCGATCCAGGTTGTCTTCGGAAAGGCGCTCTGAAAACTGATTTGATTTTATTCTTCAAAGTTGAACTTCAATTTTGACAAGTTCACCTTTGAGGCCGTTTTCAGAGGCGCCAAAAAAGAAGGGCAGCCAGAAATCCGAGCGAAAACCAGCGCCAAAAAGAAGGAAAAGAATCTTCCAGCGAAGCAGTGCACCTGAAAATCGTGGAGGAAAAGGAAGAAAACATCTACGAGAAAAGACTGATCGCGGCGAAATTCGACTTTGAAAAGTGGGAAAAGTACTTTACGAGGGAAACGATTATCGGCCACAAGGAGACTTTTGACGCGTTTGACATTGATGGCGGAGGAACTATCAGGAACTCGGTTTTCTTGAATTAAAATTTCGGCGCGACTTCCGCTTTTGAAAGGCGCGCGCGGAGCTCTAATTGGCCAAGCGCGCGTGAAAATGAATTTGATCATGAATCCGAAAAAACAGTCGTGAGGAGCTGAAAACCTCGATCGAAAAAATCCGCGGTCGAAGAGTTTCTGTCGGAGAAGTTGACGCGATTTTGCACAAGGTTTGATCTGATCTCGGCAAACTGAGTAAAAGCCTGAGTCAGGTTCCGAAAGAGCTAAAATGAAATGAAGCGGCTTATTTGAGTTTTTGCGAAGCCGCTTTGGGGCTTCGTTTTCAAAAGCCGCTACGCGGCTTTTCATTTTAGCTCTTTCAGAGCCTGACTCAGGCTTTCTACTCAGCAAATTCTAGTACATTTCTACTCGAAATTCAGTGCGACCCGAACAATGATGGAGAGCTGGAATTCAACGAGTTTTTACTAATGCCACGGATTTTAAAAATTTTCAATAAAAACGCCATTTTCAAGCTAAATCGTTAAAATCCGCGAAAAACAGATGCTGACCGTGAAAGAAAACGAAAAAGCGTATCAAGAGCTTTTCGAAGCTTTCGGCGTCTTCGAGACCATCGAAAAGGATCTGATCAAGAAGCGGCCGCGGCACCACCACCACCACCGCCACACGCCGCCGGAAGGGTCGATCTCGCGTTCCTTTTTGATTCAAGCGCTCAAGAGCCACGGCGAGCCGTTTTCCGAAGAAGAGCTCAGCCACTTCGTCAAGACGATGGACATTTCCGGCTCCGACGAAGCGCACTTTCACTACGCCTTTTTCGTCGAGTCCATTACAGGTACACTTTTCTTTTGAGCTCGACAACCGGTATTGAAATCCTGAGTCAGGGCCTGAAAGATCTTGACTGAAAAGCCGCGTAGCGGCTTTTCTAGCAGGAAGCCGCGAAGCGGCTTCGCAAAAAAAAACCATTCCAGTTTATTTTCTGGACCCTGACTCAGGTTTTTTACACAGGTTGCCGAGCCAAGCCCGCTAGTTTTAGGTTATCACTAAAACCAGAGTTGCAAATTTGTTGAGCTGAGTTGAGCTCTGTGATTTTTGAAAATGATCTGATCTGCTCAGCTCAGCTCAGACAATTATCACTCAGCTCAACTCAGCTCAGCTCAATGATTTTAACACTATTTAAAAAAAAAAACAGCTCAGCTCAGCTCTTATTAGGGTCTGCTCAGCTCAGCTTAGCTCAATTACCTCTGAAAAAGGGCAGCTCAGCTCAGTGAGCTGCGAAATAGGCCAGCTCAGCTCGGCTCAGCAAAAATAAACCAAAATTTGCAACTCTGACTAAAACTTTGATTACAGGTCGCGCGATGGCTCTAGAACACGAAGAAGACTCAGATGACTCGGACTAATTCATAAAATTGATTCAATAAAATTCAATTCTCAGTGACTCTAATTTTGATGATTGAAATCAACAACGAGTATTTTTTAAATTTCTGTCAGAGGCAATTTAACATAAATATCGGATGTCGGAATGCTAAATACAAAAATGGATTTATTCATATTTGACTCGAACCCTCGTGGAAATATTTGACATTTGTCGGTAATTCCCATAAAAGCGCCCTGCTGCGAATCAATATAGTTAGCGGTAGGCCGATTCCCGCCAAAAAAGAAACTTTTCAAAAAGACGCCAAAAATCGTGATCGATTTCGATTCATTTCAAAATCAACGGCGAAAATTCATTTTCAAATTTGACTAACAGTGGCCGTTTCGCGGAGTCTGTCAGACAATTCCAGCGCTGAACTGTAAAGTACTGTAAATTGGCGGCTCAAAGTCGGCGAGGATGAAAAAGAGGCCGAAAAAGATTGCGCGCAAAAAAAACTGTGTTGCCACCGCGCTCTGATTTTGAAATTTGGCCATTGGCCAGTTATCAATGGGAGCAGATTGTAATAATCCACTGGTAACTTTCTGCTGAGTCAGGCAAGATGTAGCCGCTAGCTCTTGCAAATATAGACTGGTTTATTGAGAATAGAAAACTGAGAGGAGCAATCGTGTACAGCTGACGAGAAGAGTGAGAGTCAGCGGGGAGTAACTAATAGGGGCCAAAAGGGGCTTTGATCAGGCTAAATATAGGTTCTATGATTGACAGCCTAGGGACTGTAGCTAAAACTAGAACACTTCACCCTTCCCCCACTTAGGGTTGATACATGTTGATGTATAAATCACACGAGATGAAGAAGAAGCACACATTGTGGTCACTAAAGGGATAAATAATAATAAGAAAAACAGAAGATATAATAGTAAAATGCACAGGGATAAGATGTTTCTTTTTTTGTAAGGAGGGCTGGACATCAGGGGCGGTTTTGACGGCGTCGATGATGGACAGTTGTTAGTAAAGAGTTTGACGGAGAGGAGATTGAGTTGATTTGATGAGCATCAAGTTTGTTGTCGGCACAAGATGGTTGGGTTGTTTTTGGGAATCAGGTCCAGAGCTATTGAAGAGGTCGAAGTTGTTAACGCGCTAGGGTTAGTAAGAGGTAGAAGACGGGATCATCGGTGACGAGGGAGTAGGCGTCGTTGATGTCGAGGATGGTGTGAAGAGAAGAGTACAGGATAAAAAAAACGGGCTTGTTGATGTCGGACGTAGTCGGAGATGTTGTTTTGGAAGATGTTGGTTGATACGTTGTCGGGATCGGCGTAGTGGCGAGTGGAGTCGTGGTTGGTGATGTAGGCGACGTCGGTGTAGGTGGTACGGTTGTTGTTGTTGGTGTCAGCAGCGTCGGTGGAAGTGGTATTGATGTAGTAGATGTCGAGGTCGTAGTCTTTGTTGGTGATGTCGGCGGTGTCGGTGGAGATAGGATGGTTGTTGTAGTTGGTGGTGAAGTCGAGGTTGATATTGATGATGTCGACGGTGTCGGGGGAGACGGTATGGTTGTTGTAGTTGGTGTCGAAGTCGAGGTTGATATTGATGATGTTGGCGGTGTCGGTGGGAGTGGTACTGATGTTGGGGATGTCGATGTCGTTGTCTTTGTTGGTGATGTCAGCGGTGTCGGTGGAGACGGTGATGGTGGTGGTGCGGCTGCTCACTGGCTACTTTGGGTCTAAAGGTGTTAAGGGTGTACCGGGCGGTGAGATCATAAACCTTGGAAGAATTCTAGCTCCTAACTATACTGATGGAATTCCTGTGGTTACCTCGCTACTAGGCCTCAGATTCTCATCTGAACCAGGGTGAGCTGGTCGGTCTATCGTTTTGATCAGAAATTGATCGATAGACATGCAGACTTTCGTAGAAAGTATTCCAAAAGTTTGAAGATATTTTGTAGTTAGTCCCTTATCCTTCCCCCGGTTACCCTAGTGAGAGGTGGTCTTGATTGGTCAGTTGAGGTTTCTTTTTCGGTCAAATGCGAGGGATACCCTTAAGATTGAATACTCTTTGACATTCGATTATTGGAAAATTTTGGGTGTTGAGATTATTTTCGGAAAAGACTGTTGATCGCCCTGAGTGTAATTGAACTTGGGAAGCTAGTGATTATTTAACTAAGTGCATTATGAATAGAACAGTTTATACCCGACCAATTCCCAATGGTGTGTTCTATGGGTCGAATCGTTAGTGAAAAATTGATTCGGAAAGCTTCGGCGCTTTGGCACCTTACTCCCTCCCGCGAAAACATAAGCACATTAGAATTAGAAAAATAATCACCCTGCGAGAGGTCCATGACGGAGCTATTTCACTGCGGCTTGTTGGGAATTGAACTTTAAGCGGGGCGGCTAGCTACACTACAGGTTGATTCAGTCGAGTTATTTCCTTAGCGAAAAATCTCACCTTGTTTCCAAAAATAAGAAACACTAGAGCAATGAGTGTAAGTAGAGAGGCGCTAGAAACGATGAGGAAAAGTAGATTATTTTCCACATCCTCTTGGATGTCCTCGATGAAGGTTGGTTCGAACACGTCACTGCGGGTGACATTGAAGTTTCGATCATCGAATTCGAACTCAATCTCAGCCGCTGCTCTAGCGAGTGTCATATTTGAAGAGTAAATGCGATCAGTCTTAGTGATGGGTATCAAGAGGCCCTGGCAATGGACTTCTTGGTCAAGCTCTGACGCTTCGAAATAACGAAGACCCTGAAATAGGTCACGTTTTCTTGCGAGGTCAGTAGACACTGAACGCACACGATGTTCCGCGGGCACAATACTGTAAACAACCGCGCCACTTCTCGTGTATGCGTAGGTGCATGGGGCTTCGCTTGGCCAAGATCTTGTAGGGCAAGTCGCTACGTCGCTCAAGCAAGAGTTTGAGCTGAGGGCAGAATTTTTGCAGACCATAAGTGTGTCACGTGAACTGTAGCATTCAAAACGGTTGAGCTGGAATAACCGGCCAGCGATCTCCGTTGCATATGGAGAAATTTGCGCCGCCGTTGTGACAAACTTGTCTTCAATTTTTTCTACGATGCCAAAACTGGTTACTCGGTGAAGCTGACTGGGTTCAGCCATAATTACCGGAAACCTCATCTCGATATAGATTTTGATCGAGTTGTCATCGAGATACGACCCGATAAGTCTGGGCCGCAATTCTCTTGGAAGGTCGAAGAGCAAGTCTTTGCAAAATGTCATGCATGACTGTTCTCGCATAGATGGGCACGAAGCCGCAAGGCATCCGCTCCTCCAGAGCATAATGTAATCAATGGTTGGAGGGATGTTTCCTGTCGCGAGTTCGCTAACCTCACTGTCAATTTGCTCCAGATAGTTCTGAGTAGCCTGTGCTGCGATAGCACTTGTGCTGAGTTCGAACTTTTCGTTGGATTCAAGGCAGACCTGCTGTTCAAGAAGGTCGATTTTAGCGTAAGTCTCATTGATGCAAACGCTTACTGATGCCATTGAATCCTTCAACGCATTCTCAAGCGTATTCACGCGTTCCTTCGTATGAAGCGTGACTCTTTTCAAATTTTGAATTTGTATGTTATTTACGACCTTCATTGAAAAATTGAGAACGCTTGACAGAAGAGAAGCTCCCGCAACTAAATCGCGTTGTTTTCGAATCACGTGACCAGATCTGAGAACTGACTTGCGTCTTCGCTCGCGCACGTCCCTTTTGAGCAAATTAGCTTCAGCATTGATTGCCGAAATTCGCCGTCTGAAATCAGAGTCGATCGAGTCCCGTAACGCGGCTAACCGATCTGAAGCGCGGCTATCTGAGCATTCCCTTCTAGCGCTTCGATCTTTGGAGAAGTATTTCTCGCAATTCTCTTTCGAGCACTTAGGGAGTACAATATTCAGATAAGGCTGCGTTGGTTTGGGCCGCTCAATTTCAACAATGTGAACCGCCCTTTGCCGTGACAGATACACATCCCCAGACGCCTCAAGGACCACACCCCCTGGTAAGACCATGTCCCCGTAGCCGAGTGAAATCAGTTGAAGTGAGAAGAGCAGGAATCCGTTCGTCATCTGAAAAAAAAAGATTAGTCAATGGTTTGGTTTGGTCGAAATTTGATATTTTTGGTCAAATCATTCCTTCGGGTCCTCCGGTGCTAATCTAAGATGACGGATATTACGGACAAGCCTGTTCCCCGTTCCCAATTCTTCAAGTTCGTAGCTTCCGAATCGAAGGTATCGGACTACTCTGGCTAGGCCGGCAAATTGAACATATGCCTTACGGGACGTATTCGGTTTCTGAGGGGACCAGAAGGCCACCTTCCGACCCACCGGTATCGAACCTTCCTGAGGGGCTTCTGGGAGATCTTTTCCCGGTAATCGAGCTAAAAACTTGCTCTGAAGTTCTCCCGCAATTCGATGAAGCCAGCCCGAGCAATATGCGGCCCAATCCTCTGGGTCACCCGTTCCCTTCGGATCATCTGGGAGGCAGAATGTTGGGTAAGGCATAGGTCGCCCACTGATACATTCAGAAGGGGTCAGATTCCCGAGTGTACTACAGGGCGTGTTATTGAGGTGGTAAACCACAAATGCAATTTCTTTGCTCCATGTGGCAGGGTCAAGGCTCAGAATTTTGCTCTTGATCCCAATGGAACGAAATTTCCGCTCTGTGAGATTCCCTTGCGGCGAATAGGGGCTTATTCGGCTAATCTTGATATTGAATTTCTCAAGAAGCTCTGTCACGTGTTGATTGACGAATTCAAGCCCATTATCGAAAGTAAATCTACCACCCATCGCATTGTTAGAAAGTATTAATTCTAAAATACCTTGAGCAACCTCCGGGGCCGATTTTGTTCTGAGGGGCTTGCAGACCACGAATCGAGTCATCTGGTCAACTCCCGCCAGAAGGTACCGAAAACCATCCTGGTCTACGCTTCCGAAATCACAGAGGTCTAGATAGACCCGCTCCCAAGGTTGGGACGCGATTTCTGGCTTTGGAACGTCGATGTTCCGGAGTGCTGGGCGTGGTTTAATCTGTAGACA